TGAACCCGGGTCAGCCGCATGCAAGGCAAACGCCCTACCCGCTGTGCTATTGCTCCAGCCCCAGAACTATGTATCTTTAAAATTGAACTTCTGCCTGTCCCTGGGCCTCCCTCATCCTCCCCACCTTCTCTGCAAGCTCTCATCAAGCCCATTAGCCTCTGAACATCCACAGGTTTCTCCTTTCTTGCCAGACAACAAAAGCTACTCCTCAGCCACTTTCTGTTTCTTGTGTTTGGGTCCTTCTGGCTCAGTGCTCGGAGAACACTCCTGGTGGAGCTTGGGGGACCATGTGTAGTGCTGGGGATTGAACCCCAGTTTGCTACGTGTTAGGCAAATGCTGTACTCTCTCTCTCGACCCCCTCAGCAACTTTTGAAGGAAAACCAGAGACTACGTGGCTGCTGTTCTCTTTGCTTGCTTCCTCTCATTCATTTAGTCTGCTGGTTTTCCTGTCATTTACAGTATCGGTGTTCATCCAGCTAATCAGCAGTGACCTGATTTGCTCAATTAAAGCCCATTTCTCAGTTGTTGTTTTAGTTTACCTGTGTTCTTATTTTTGTGATTTTTGGGGGGTTTTCTTTGTTTTTGTTTTTATTTGGGGGCCACACCTGGTGGTCCAGTGGTCCAGCCCCAACCTGCTTTCTTGTTTGCTTGCTCCTATTTGACCTTGTGCTCTCTGACCTGACTATATCCATCAAGGTAAACCCGCCTCTTTGTTCCTGAAACTTACTTTGTTTTTCCCAATGCATGCTCTATTCATCTCTTGAGAGTCTCATCCATGGTGCTTTTCTTCATCCAAACTGGCTTATTGGGGGGGTGTTGTTCTTGATCTACACACTCCAGGGTGATCTTGTTCCTGTCTGCTGTCTACAGGCCAGCAGCTCCCAGTCCTCCTGTCTTTCCTAGCACAGACCCCTCTCCCGAGTTCCAGGTCCAGATGGCCAGTTTGTTGCTTCTTTTATCGTGTATGCATGCGTGTGCGTGCGTGTGTGTGTGTGTGTGTGTGTGCGTGTGCGTATACACACACACACACACACACACACCTACCTGCTTTCCCTTCAGTCTCTGGTCCCCTTCCATCTCTGTTATGCCAGTTTTAAGTGATTGTACAGCTTAGAGGGTTTGGGAAACTCTCCCGTCTCTTCCCGGGGACCATCCTTCCTCCCCCCACAGCAGTCTGCTACCCACCTCTGTCCTTGACCAGGGTCTGGCTTGTTTCTCCACTGACCAGCAAAGTAACCATGCTAGAATGGAAATAGAATCCCTTGAACCCTTCTCAGGGCTCCTTCCATGACTTCCAATCGTCTACACCACTAGTTCCCAAACATAATCATCCTCCCCACTTTCGGAAATGAACCACGGTTGATATGTGGGGCCAGCTGATTCTTGGTGGTGGACACCTCTCCTGTCATGGGCATCACTCCTATGGGCACTTCTGTCTCCTCCAAACTAGACCCTACTAGCAGCCAGCCCACCTTTCCCCTCTCTCCCTCACTCCCAACAGCCTGATATTTCTCCAGCATTGGCAGTGGGAATGCTTGAAGGCCATGGATCTCAGGTTTCTCTCTCTTTTTTTTTTTTTTTTGTGGTGGGACCACACGCTGCAATGCTCGGGGCTCCTCCGGGCTCTGTGCTCAGGGGTCATCCTGGCAGTGCTCGGGACCATCTGTGGGGCCATTGGCCTTGGTGGTACACTGGTAAGCATACCAGCCTTCCAATCCTGGGTCTGCGGAATGCAAGAGGAATACCTTGATCCTTGAACGAGCTTTCGGGCCCCACCTCCAGATTTCTTCACGTGGACCCCAGACCCTCTGAGAGTGGCTCTGTCCCCCATTTGCCAGGACCCAGTTACCTCCCACCCAGACTCCTTCAGCCACTGGCATCCCTGGCTCTCTCGGAGGCCAGCCCTCTGGACAGGCTCTGGGCTGTCTTAATTGCAGATTCAGGTGCCCACTTCACTGTTCCCGATTGCACCCAGCCTGTGCCCGTCATGCATGCAGCATCTTCCTCTAGCGTGCCCCTCTCCCCCTGCATCTGTGCCAGCCACTGGAAGGCCAGGATGGTATTATTTTCCGACACAGGGAACCCACTCCCCGTGGGCCCGAGCACGGCGTCAGCAGAATGAGGCTCTAGGCAACGAGTGGGTGGGCTTCCCAGGAGCTGCCACTTTTCTCAGCTCTTCCACGCGCCACCATTCCATCCTGTGTGTGTCATTGGATGGGGGAAAGGAAAGTCATTTGGTCAGTAGGTCAAGGAACAGTCCAGCCCCACAGCAAGACTGAAGGCAGGCTGGGCGCCACCTCCTCGCGCTCGGACGCCGGGGTGGGACCCGAAGGGGAGGCCCTGCCATATGGATTTCTCATTAGTGACTGTAAGGGAAAACCGGGGGCGGGGGTGGGGGAGCCAAGCCTGCAGCTGTCCACACTCTCTCCCCCCATCATTCTCCTGCTGCCACACCTGCTCCCCCGAGACGCCCTCATTCCTCAGCTATGTTGGCTGAGGTCTGAGAACTAACCCCCCACCCCGCTTCAGCAGAGAGGAGCTTGGAAGTTTTCAAGAATTGCTTTGCTAGGAAAAACTCTAGGGGGAAAGCAAACAAGCAAAAACAGGAAGAGCATATAGAAATCATTCTTTAAAAAAAAAAAAGAGCACGCAGAAGGAGAAAAGAAAATGTCTTTGCCTCGTGGAATTTGACTATTCGCTTTTCTTGACTCAGTTTACCAGGCAGGCACATGCTTTCTTGTGTGTGTGCTGGCTCGGTTTTGTTTTCTTTTTGCCCAGAGATTGTCCTCTGCGGGGGAACCCACCCTACAGTTCGCCTTTCAGTCTGAGGACGTCTTAATTCTTCTTCATTGTGTAGGAAGTTGTTGGAGCTAGGATGAGAGACACTGTCTTGTCAGACAACAGCTGCTGATGGGATGGAGAAAGGAGCTTGGTGGTCTTTCAGTTTGTTTTGGAGTCACCACCAGCAGTGCTCAGAGATGACTCCTGGCTCTGCGCTCAGGAATTACTCCTGACAGTGCTTGGGGAACCATATGGGATGCCGGGGATTGAACCTAGGTTGGCTACATACAAGGCAAGCACCCTACCCTCTGTACTATCTTTCTGGCTCCTTTTTTTTTTTAAATATATATTCTTAATGGTAAAATTAAAAAACCATTCAGAGAGAGAGAGAAGAAAAGTGCTGCCATAGAGGCAGGTTGGCATGGGCGGGGGGCGGTGATGGGAGGGAAACTGAGGACACTGGTGCTGGGAAACGTACACTGGTGTAGGGGTGGGTGTTGGAACACTGTTTGACTGAAGCCTAATCATGAACAGCTTTGTAAGGGTCTATCTCACAGTAATTCAATTAAAAAAGAAATGAATTTTTTTAGAAAGTCACTCTGCATAGGCTCCCAATAAAAGAAAATTCTTCCAAAATCTGACCAACATGTTTTGTAAGACATTGATTGTACCCTTTGTATTTACTACTTTTGGGGTCATTGGACAAGTTGTTTCTTTTGGGAGGTCGGGGCCTCTGCGGCCACTGCTGACAGTGCTGGGGATAACTGTGTTTCCTGGACATTGAGCCTGGACCTCCCGCAAGCTGCAGAGCTTGTACCCTGGTATTTTTGTCAATAAACTGTTGTTCCATCCTCCTAGCATGGCCTACTACAGTTAATGATGTTTTTGCAAGGGCAACCGAAACAGTTTTTGAAGTCTGACGTTCTGGTCTAGCTGAAACAGTCTTTGTTCTCAACATTCTCTTGTGGACTGAGTATCAGTAAAAGCATCGATGCTCTCCTTCCGGGTGAATACAGATTGAAGCAAGTTCCTGCCCCTGCCTCTGAGGAAACTGAGACCAAGGCAGATAGATGGCCAAGGAAGAAACAGTGGTACCAGGCGGTCAGCAGCCTGAGAGGCAGGAAAGAAAGTGCCGCCTTCCCCCCTGCGGGCAGCTTGGCCCAGGAAGGTCAGGTTTGCCCACGGAAGAATTGACGGAAGGCACTCCAGGCAGGCCTTGGTTAACATTTCGAGCACTGGATGAGTGTGGGACATTTGAGGGGACATTAGGGTAAATGCGCATGGAAATATGTGGGAAAGGATGAATCCACTCTGAACTTTCTCTAGTCCACAGCTCCCAATTCTGCTGGGAGGAGTTCACTACTGATACATAGGCCAGGAGAAACAAACAGGGCAAAACCCAAGAAGACCTTGAGCAGGACAGAATGCTTGGGAATGTCTGCATTCGTTCCGCCCCCCCCCCCCCCCCCCAGTGGCATGCACAAGGCCACTGGCAATCTGGGTCTTTGTCTTCTGCTTGGAGTTGGGGTTCACTCCTAGAGCACAGACCAAGGGACACCCTGGGCAGAGGCATTTCCGTGAACCGTAAACTTCCCCCGAATGTACGCCAGGCCTAAGCAGCTGCTTAAGCAGCTCCTATCCCAGTGACATCTGTGGGGCCTCAGGTTTCAGCCACCCGGGAGGAAGCTGCCGGATGGGGCCCAGCCTGGCACATCTGCGACCCTGGACCCCATTTTAGGGGAACTGTGGATAAGGCCAAGATGGCTCCCAGAGAAGGTGACCTCAAAAGCTGTTTTAGGAAAAATAAAATGTACCCAAGGGACAGTGGCATCTGGACCAAAGTGGGTGGTGTGTCCTGGGTGGCCGCAGTGGGTTGGAGGGGACTCCTGGGAGAGCCACTGGGCTGTGTGTCAGAAGTCGTTTCGAAGAGCTGTGTTCCTGACTGCACAATGCCATGCACCGAATGTTGAAGTGTTTTGACAGAAGCAGGATAACCATCTTCACCCAGGGAGAGACTGAGAGAAAACCAAAAGGGACAGTGGGACCGAGCCAAACCCTTCCATCTCCACACCTGATGGGATTTAAACATTTGTTCAGTTTTGTCTTTTTTTTTTAAGTATTTGACTCAGTTTCCCAGTGTGGCCAGCCTTTACCTGGGCATTAACCCCACTCCCCACTGATTGTGAATTTTCTTTCCTTCCCCCCCCCCCCCCCCCAGTATCTGACCAAAAGGATACCACGGAACCCAAAGTACCAACATGTCAAGACAAGACTGGACACTGGTGAGTAAAGACGATACTAATGAAAACTTAAAAACTCAATCGAGGGCTGGAGTGATAGTACAGCGGATAGGATATTTACCTTGCACCCAGCCAACCCAGGTTCAATTCCCAGCATCCCATATGGTCCCCTGAGCACCGCCAGGGGTAATTCCTGAGTGCATGAGCCAGGAGTAACCCCTGTGCATTACTGGGTGTGACCCAAAAAGCAAAAAAAAAAAACCAAACAAACAAACAAAAAACCAATCGACCCTTATTAACAGTAACAGTAGGTCAGTAATGCCTGATTTGCCATAAATTGTAGCCCAAAGCTTCGTACTGTCTTGCCTGAGGATTTACCTTTGAAACATGTCCACTCACATAAGCATGTCCACTCCCATAATTCACATCTTGTTGTAAATCCCGAAGAAATGTTGTTCAGTAAGTTGCGGGACTAAGGCTTAGTAGAGTCAGAAGGGGTGGTCTCCATTTTGGAGCATGTAAGAGTATTCCCGTGAATGGTGGGAGTAGATTATACATGTGCACGTCTGTTGATTCAGTGTTTGAAGAGTGCCAATTACATGCAAAGTTATGGATTATGGGATGTATAAGGATGAGTGTGAATCATGATTTTTGCAATCAAAGAGCTTAACTTCAAGTGGAGGCAGATGGACTTGAGTGAGTAACTGAAATACCAGACAAAATTAAATTAGTGCTGCATTTCAGGTAAAATGAGATTTGAGAGTGTGTTACTGCTTATTTTTTTATGTCCTTTGCATTTTTCAGTGCCATAATAAAGACCACTCCCCAGGTCCCTGGTGGATTTGTAATCTTGTGAGGTTTTGAGTTGTTTATTTGTTTAGTGTAGGTGTCTCCCTCCTCTTCCCCCCACCCCCTGCACAATCTTCTAAAGCCTGCTGGAGAAAATCCGTTCTATTACACCAGGTTTGCTAGAGGATGGTGGTACTGCATGCCTTTAGCAATCCTGAATTTCCCAACGATAATTGCAGGACAACTGAGAAAGTAGACTGGGATGTTGACTCCATCTACATCTCCTTCATTTTGTCTTTTTCTGTCTCCAGTTCCCTCCAAAATCATTATCTGCCATGATGCATATTTCCTCACATAAAACAGACTAAAATTAAGTGCTTCATTGAACTGCATTTTGCAGATACCTTTTCTTGGGGCCTCCCCCCCCAAACATTTCTGCATTGTGCAGATATTTATCCTTGCAATTAGCCTGTTTAATGAGAGGTAAATATATATATATATATACACATACACTCTATCTTTGAGGAGGAAATTGTAGCACAGGAATGACATGATGTATTGAGGTTCAGTAAAGGAGCTCGAACTTGGATTTGTATGCAGGATGAGGTTGGGGAGCTCTGGCCCAAGTTCTCTGTTGTCCCTGCAGCATTCCCCAGCTTCATTTCTCCAAAGATCCCGCCAAACACCTCCAGCTCTACCTCTCTTCTCTCCATCTGTCACCCACCCTTTGGGAATAAACTACTCTTTGATATAAACACGTGGATGAAAAGTGCCCCAAGGAATAGGGAATGCATTTCTTTAGAATCTTTCATTCCTTCTTAAAACTAAAAAATTTAAAAGCTGAGGTTTATTTCAAATATATAGATTTGTCTCTGCCTTCATATTGTTTTCTTTGGGAAGTTGAATTGGGATTTGTAAGTGAAAACTTTTTTTTTCTCCTCAGTGCCTAATTTGTCACCAAATTAGACTCAAAACACATCTATCAAAATATCTGAAATTGTCACTGTCCTCCCGTTGTTCATCGATTTGCTCAAGCGGGCCCAGTAACGTCTCCATTGGAGACTTTGTTGTTACTGTGTTCGGCATATTGAATAAGTCACGGGTAGCTTGCCAGGCTCTGCCGTGCGGGAGAGATACTCTCAGTAGCTTGCCGGGCTCTCCAAGAGGGGCAGAGGACTCGAACTCGGGTTGGCCATGTTGGCTGCGTGCAAGGCAAACGCCCCACCGCTGTGCTATCGCTCCAGCCCTATCTGAAATTAATTTTTTTAATTGAGGTATTTGAGCCCAACTCCTCAAAAGATGAACTAAGGCATCTTTCTTAAAGGGGCTTAGGCTCGACCACTTCATTTTGTGTCTTTTAAAATTATGAATCACAGTTATCTATCTCCTTTTGAATTGTGAGATTTTTAAACTGATACTTTTCTTAAAAAAAACCCTCTTATTTGGAGGTCCACAGCAGAGCTTGGCAAGCTACCCGTGGCGTATTCAATATGCCAAAACCAGTAACAGTAACGGATCTCATTCTCTTGACCCTGAAAGAGCCTCCAATATGGCAGTGTTGGGAAAGATGAGTAAGGAGTTAAAATCTCAGGGCTGGGGCGAATGGAGATGTTACTGGTGCCCACTCGAGTAAATCAGTGAACAATGGGATGACAGTGATACAGTGAGGTGACAGTGATGCAGTGGAGGTCATTGCAGAGGTACATGGAATACTACCAAATTCCACAGAGATTCCACGTACCTTCACACTGTTTCCCTTGGTAACTTCTTACAAACCAGAAGCATAGGACCATAGCTGTGATGCTGCCCCTTGATTGAGCCTATATTATGGAATGGGTCAAGCCCTCCAAGAGGCCCTTGTGTTGCCCTTTGAAAGCCACATATGCCGCCCACCACACCCACACTCTTTCCTGAGCCCACTCATCTCTTCCTGCATCTGTCACCATGTCATTTCACAAGAGCTGTATCCATGAATCAGAGGGTATGCAGTGTTTGGGATTGGCATTTTCCTGCAGCCTCAGTCTCTGGAGAGGTGTCCTGGTGGTTCTGTGTATCTGTGGTTCACTCCTTTGCTGACATTCCTATGGAGTGGAGGAACTACGTGTTAACCATTTACCTGCATCTGGATTATCTCTTCTTCATTATAACATATACGGGTGCTGTAAAAATTCAGGTATGGATGAGCTTATGTGAATTTGGCTTCTTTTTGTTGGGATAAATTCCCAGAAATTCAGCAGCTGGTTATGTGTTACTTGCATTTATATTTTATATAGTTTATTTTTGTTTCTAAGAAACTACCAGATTTTTTTGTTTGTTTGTTTGGTGACCACACCCTGCAATACTCAGGGCTTACTCCTGACTTTGTGCTCAAGGATAACCGCTGGGGAAGATTGGGGGGACCATGTAGGATGTCAGAGATTGAACCCAGGTCGGCTCCTTGCTTCCCCATGTACTATATCTCTGGCCCTGGAACTGCCAAACTCATCCATATTGGCTGCACCATATTTTATGTTCTCTTCAACAATGTAAGAATGATCCAGTTTCTTTACATCTTCACTGGCATTTGGTGTTGGCACCATTGTTTCAGTTTAGCAACTCTGATTGATGGTATAGCACTGCAGCTCTGATTTGCATTTCCCTAATGGTTAATGATGTTGAATGTCTGTTTGTATGCCTGTTTGCCATCTGTAGCCCTTCTTCAGGAAAACCTCTGTCATGTCTTTTACCTGTATTCTAATTTTTAACTGTTGAATTTTCAGTGTTCCTTATATATCTAAGTTGCTAGGCCTTTTGTTTGGTACAGGGTTTTCTGATTGTTTACTCAGCGTGTATCTTGTCTTTTCAACCTCTTTAACAGGGCTTGGTTTTGTTTGTTTTAATTTTGGTGAAGTTAGTTTTTTTTTTCAGTTTTTCATGGATGATCACAAATCACAAATCATCCTGTTAATCATCGATTGCCTCGAGCAGGCCCCAGTAACGTCTCCTTCATCCTAGCCCTGAGATTATATTCAAGGCTCTTTAGGAGAATGAGACCCATCATTGTTACTGGTATTTGGCATATTGGGTACGCCACAGGGAGTTTGCCAGACTCTGCCGTGTGGGCAGGCTACATTCAGTAGCCTGCCAGTTTGTCCAAAGTAGGAATGAGATAATAAGATGTCTCATTCTCCTAAAGAGCCTTGAATATAATCTCAGAGCTAGGATGAAGGAGACGTTACTGGGGCCTGCTCGAGGCAATCGACGATTAACAGGATGATTTGTGATTTGTGATCATCCATGAAAAACTGAAAAAAAAAAAAAACTAACTTCACCAAAATTAAAACAAACAAAACCAAGCCCTGTTAAAGAGGTTGAAAAGACAAGATACACGCTGAGTAAACAATCAGAAAACCCTGTACCAAACAAAAGGCCTAGCAACTTAGATATATAAGGAACACTGAAAATTCAACAGTTAAAAATTAGAATACAGGTAAAAGACATGACAGAGGTTTTCCTGAAGAAGGGCTACAGATGGCAAACAGGCATACAAACAGACATTCAACATCATTAACCATTAGGGAAATGCAAATCAGAGCTGCAGTGCTATACCATCAATCAGAGTTGCTAAACTAAAACAATGGTGCCAACACCAAATGCGCGGGCGCATTCGCGGCCTCGCGTTTCTGGGAGCTGGTTTTTATAGTCTCTGAGTCTTGGCCGCTGATGGGATTACACGGCGCCTGGGGGCCAGTTGGTGGGTGTGACCCCCGCCTACTGGAATTTGGAGGATCTGGGTGGAGGATGCTCGGCCCAAATCCGAGTAGGCTTGGAGATCTTGGCCCCGGAACCCGCGTGACTTTGTCCCTCTGCCAGTACCTTCATGTGTGCGGAGAGTGGTCTCAGCATGATGGTGGCTGGTCCTGGAGGTCTTTGGCTGCTGGAGCCCTGGTCAGGGCGGGGAGGAAAGCTCAACCTGCTCCCCTCCAAGGGGCCCCGGCGGCGAGGACAGTCAGGCGCAGGGGCAGGAGACTGCACTGTTCTTCTTCCGGGAGCTGTTTTTTTTTTTTTTTTTTTTTTAAATCATGGATGATGCTTTTTTAAAAAAAGTGTTTTTTTTTAACTCACTGTGAGATAAACACAGTTACAAAATTGTTCATGATTGAGTTTCAAGTCATGCAATGTTCCAATGTCCATTCCTTTACCAGTGTGCATTTTCTGCCACTAATGTCCCCAATTTCTCTCCTGCCTAACCCCCAACCCTCCTCTTCTCCCCT